AATCCCTGGGGAAAGGAGAAATTGGTGAGGGAGGGCAAGTTTAATCTGTCAGAGAAGGGGAGGAGTTGAGGGATCAAAAGGGATAATCCTGGGTTTGATGGAGGGAAAATGAGGGAAAGTCCCAGCCAGAGCAACTCTTTTAACATTCCTGTATCCATTGCAGTTGCTTTTCCGAAGCCATTGTACTCAGGGATCCCCCTACCCCACAGAGGAACACCGTTCATTTCTCCCAGGACATTTGTCTCACCCTTTCACCCTGTGGGAGTCCCAAGGTTGGGGAAGTCTTGCTCATGAAGGCAGGAGTTGGCTCTCTGATGCTTGCCTTCCGCCTGGGTTTGGTGTAGTTTGGTTTTGATGGGACAACTACTGGCAAACTACTTTGCTATCAGTGGGGTAGGTCAAGGATAAAGTATCACTTAGAAGATACGCTATAATTTGAAATCTTCTTTTCCTGCTGTTTCAAGTTTTGATCGTAGTCCGGTTCAGCAAAAAGTGTTTTCGCCTCTACCCATGACCACATCACTCCTGTCTTCAGAACGCTGATTACTCCATGTAGCAACTGTACATTACCTTCTTTATTTAGTCATTTATTTATATGCTGTCATGTTTCAAAAAAAAGAAGTTTTAAGGTGGCTTACAACTACACAATGTAAAATAGAAGATCAAATACTAGAGGATATCAGATGAAAATAGGTATGAGAAGAATACTATAAATATGTACTATTAACTCTGGATTTGGGGGCTCCTCACAAGCCACCCGTACATCCTGTTCCCCCTCTTCAAGTTTCGTAGTTCAGCCTGATTTTTCTTCCTCCTGTTTTCTCTTTCCATTCCTCTTCCCAGAACTTTTCCAAAGTTACCTCTTCCCAAAACCTTTCCAAAGTTTCCAAAGTTACCAGTCCGCATCAAAACTATGTTCTCCCAAGGATTCGGGCATATTTCACCATGTCTGGAAGGAAACCAAGTGGATCGGCTCACCAGAGAGTTCAAGGAGTGGCCTGAGAAGAGCCAATCCCAGGAAGAGAGGAAATACAGGTCTACAGGTTTAGCCAATGACAATAGGGCAGCAACAGAGAAGCGTGCCATTGAAACTGTCAGACAAGGCAAGAAATAAAAAAGCCTGAGATGCCTTAAAAGACCTGAGGCAACCAGAGCATGAACTCTCAGGAGCAGTGGGGGTGCACTGCCCAGACATCACGGACAGCAGGAGAAACTGCAGCAACCTAAGAGCTGCAATCTTAGAGCTGAGTTTCTACAAGCATCAGGGACTTGGCTAGTGCTGCTGGCTCCGGCCATGAAGAGAAGAGGAATGTGGAGAGAGGGGAACAAAATGGTGGACAAGGGGCGGAGAGGAATGGGTCTTGGCACCCTGCGAGGCACACTCACCACACTGAGCAGGATTTCATGGAAGTTCAATTATTCCAGAGCCATCAAAGGCCAACTTCCTGCTCTGTGACCCTACTGTTATTCCTAGCATGGAGGAACCTGGGACACACAGCTATATCTGCTTCCTGAGGTTTGTTTTATAAGTCCCAAATCCCCATCTAGAACCTGACCCCCGTTTTGTGTTCTAGCCTCACCTTCCCTCACTCTCATCTCACTCACTCACCCGAGACCCTCTAGATACATGAAAACTACCTCTAGAATTTTCAAAAGAGAGCCCTGCTGTTTCCCATCACTTTTTCAGATGTGCCTTTTCAGATTGCTCACTCTGCCACATTTGCCTTTTCTCCCCTTTGTTCTTTGAAGTATTTTCTGGTCCTTCCTCCCGTGCTCCTGCCAGATGACATTGGCCCCTCCATGGTGGTGTTCATGCAATGTTCCATCCAGACTTCATGATTGCAGCCCTAACACCTCGGTATCTTTATATGTTTGTTTTCCTCCATTAGCCTCCTTAGATCAGGAACTGCTTCTGGTTCCTGGTTATAAACGCACTGCTTAGAGTGTAGATCATCATGCAACAGGTGCTTAACAAGTATTTGCAGAAAAAGTGAATAGATGCATTTCCAGATCTTCCTGGATCCTCTTTACAAAGTTGGACAGTGGGGGAAAAGCTTGGCCCCTAGATGTGTTGAATGTTCTGCTCTGCATTAGTATTGAAGCAAAAGCAGGAAAAAAAAGACCACACGTGGATGCACAAAAGAGAAAGTCTTAAATGGTGTTTATTATTTCATTAAGTAAAATCATTGAGTGTGAAGCTTATTGTCTTCTGTTTGTCTGTAACTGACATCGTATCTGAAACCCCCGAGTGCTCAAGAAATATTAAAACTAATAAGATCATCTTGAGATTAGGTCAATAAACAGATCATAATTAGCATAGTTCATATGCAGGAGACCCACTCTGCTCTGACTTGAATTACCTCAGTAAACGATTTTTATCTAAGTGCTTCATATGCTGCCTGAGTACCTTAGATCAGCACTAACTGCCCATTCAGTTGCACAGAGGACTCACTTTCCCAATTTGGAAGTTAATTACTATATAACTTCTTGTCTTCAATTTGTAAGGAAAGCAAGGTGAAAGCATAGGTCTATTACAAATTTGGACTATTTGGCAAAGAGGAGAATGAAATCAGTGGTGAGGGCTTTCAGTGTTATTATTTTTTTAAACTATTGTTTTGGTAAAAATGATACTTGCTCCTTACTTAGAGGGAAAAAAGTCAGGAAATGCAGGAAAGTATGAATAAGAAAATAAACTAAAAAGATCACCTGAAAGTCCACCATCCAAAAATAATCCTTGTATGCATTCCGAGAACATCATTCTGGAACTTAGTCCCATTAAAATCTTGGAGGAACAGCCTCTTGGACAAGAATTTGCGAAGAAACAGGTGAATTAATTTTGGAAGACTCCACTTGAGATAAACAGACTCTAAACATGCCAGTTACAATCCCATTTTTTAGGTTTCTTCTCTCCACATGTATCCAAAAAGGAAACAGAACCAACAGCAGTAGAGATTCAGTAAGGTCTTACTGAAGTACAGAGCATTCAACCAAATTACTTGTTCTTAAAATGAATCATTTTCTCACACTTTTCAATCAGGAATTTTAAATGTAATGTTTATTTTGAATCCTCACCCATTCTGATACACAGCTTGAGATCAGCCAGTATGACTACACCCATGCTGAGCTCCTCACCTTCCTACCCTCTGCTGTGGAAGTTTATTTATATTTCCACATTCATCAACTGCAAGAGGGGGAAGAGGAGACAGGAAAAAAGCCCAAGGGACTCTAACAAACCAATGCAAAGTTGCTAGGGCTGAATGGGAATTGTCTGAAATAGGTTATTTCTTCCTTAAATATGGGAGTATCATAATTTTCCTGTCTACTTGTACCTAAGGTGCAATGATAATACTAAATATTTATAAAGTTCCTGTCTTCTAGGGAACTCAAAGAAAAATATTTATATAAGTGATCTCAGTAGTTCTCCAGCTTCAAATAGGGAAACTGAAGCATTTTCTCGCTCTTATGAGGATAGGCTCAGTTAACAGAGGATGAAAGCTGGTCATTGTGATGTGGGAAACAAAGGCAGAAGGAAATGATAGATAAAGTTAAATTTCTTTATAACCTGCATCCCATTGACAAATACTTGAGGCAGGCAGAATATAGCATTCCTTCAGGAACTCCCCACTCTCTTAATGTTAATGCTTTGCTAGAGGGAAAAACAACCTTAGTTTCACAATAGCCAGGCCTCCAGTAGCCTATAAGTCTTCTTTAACATATGGCAATCCTTTTGTAAACCTCCCCTTGCCTTAACCTCTCCCAGCTCCCAAGTGTATAATCAGTCCCTCCTAACAATCCCAGGGCCGCTCTTTCTGCCCACAGGTCCTGTCCCTGTGATTTAATAAACCACCCTGTTTGCACCCAACATTTCTCTTTCTTGGCTGTGGGCTCTGAACCCCTACCACTACTCCAAAACCACATCCATTGGTTCAAGTTAATACT